CACCCCCGCCCATGGATCTGATTGCTTCTCAAAATAAAGTCACAGTAGCACCTGGGAAAGAGCAACACATCGGTCAGGCTGACCACGGGAATAACTCCCCAATGCTGGCCCTGTTGGTGACCCCAAAGAGTTAAAGACCTTTGCAAATACTGCAGCTGAGCTGTGTGTGCAGGGTTTCTGCAGCGTGCAGACACATCCAGGAGCGATCTTGCCCGTTGGCCGCCTCTGGCCTGGTGGCTCAGTGTGGGATGCTCACCTGTTTCACCACCGGGGCACTGGGGAGCCTCTAGGTTACAGCTGGTTTGCACTGGGATTAGCTGCTCTTTGCCTGGGCTTGTAGCTGTGGATGTGGTTTCTGTAGTGATGGGGCCGACTGCGGACCTCTATTGGCTGCTGGCTTCCTGAATTTCATTCAGTTTGGTCCAATAGCAGAGGGGGAGCTCGGGGAATCTTCAGGACCACTCTCTTCAATCTCTCCTTGACTTGCAGACCCGGCTCTCCCTTCTCGGTGTCAGCACAGGGCTCTTATTCGGACCTAGCTCGGCCCTTTCCCGTGCCAACTGTGCTGACCCTCAGACGGTCTACAACAGCAACCACCACGCACCCATTTCCTCCCCGAGGCCGCGTCGCCGGCCCTCGCATGCCCCTGGAGGAGCGAATCTCGTTGGGATTGCAGAAAGCCAAGACGCCCTGCACGCAGTACCTCCTCCCGAATCGCACCCTCCTCAGGGTCTCCGAGACGAACCTGGATACGTAGAAAGAACCACCCCAGCTGATGCAGTTTTTCCGCGGCGAAGGTAGGTGCCGTTTTTTCACGTGTGTCCCCCTGGCTTATTTGTCTCTGAAGCCTTTCAAATATTTGAACTTGTAGGAGCGGCCCAGCCAGAGAGGATAAGGCTCACTGCGAACGTTTGCGCTTGACTTCATCAGACATTTTATATATATATATGTGTGTGTATATATAAATATATGTGTGTATATATATATATATATATATATATATATATATATATATATATATATATATTATCCTGAAAATGTGGCCAGCACTTTCTCCCATCTGTCGCTCCATTTCTTAGGTGTGGGTGGGAGTGTGGACGTACGTAGATGGACGGCGTGTCNTATATATATATATATATATATATATATATATATATATATATATATATATATATGTCTAGCTACCTATCTAGCATTCACCTAATCTATTTCTGTATTTATTTCTCTATCATCTACCTGTCTGCGTAAATATCCATCCATCCATACATCTATCCACCCATTTATACACTCTTCCATCTCACCTATCTATTATCTATCATCTTTCTATCATCTGTCTATCCTCTATCAATCATCTATCATCTGTATCTATCTATCTATCTGTCTATCATCTATGTATCATCTAGCTATAAAGGTTATTTCTTATTCTATTTCTCAAATTTATTAAATTCATGCTCTAAACTGTTCTCATATAATTGTGACCCCCTCCCCCCACCCCGAAGCATTTACCATCAAAATTTTGCAGGTATTTTTCCAAGAATGTGTTTACAGTGGTAAATGAAAGCAAAAAAGTAAACAGACAAAAAAAAGTGGGACAGTCATTCTGATAAGAAAAGCCCTTGATTAAAAATATTCCAAAATTAGCTACGTTGAGGGCACAGACCATATTTTATTTGTCCACCATTGGTATTTTAAAGACTTCTTGGAACCAGCCACAGTTCTCAGATTTATGTTTATGACATAAATGAATAAAAAGAATGATCCTGAAGCTTCTTAAGAACAAGCCTACCTCAACCGTACCACCTCTGAATCTGTCGTATGTATATTTTCCCCTTCACTGTAAGATGAAAGTCCCGGTTTCCACTTTGTCATCAGTATCCCACTCAGGAATCTCTGAAACATTCAGTTAAGAATCGATTGATGCCAAAATGCAGTGGTTCTCCCTCACCCTCTTTCACCCTGACAGTCTCCTTCAACCATTCACAGTTGCCTCCTGCCCACTCCCTTTTGAATTGGAACACCTCCCTTGAATACTGGACCACTCAATGTTGGTTCCTCCAAAGACCTGTCCCTCCTTTTAACTTAACACTTTCTCTGATTGGACCAATATTTTAAGGATCATAGGCATGGGGTTTGCTCTCACATCTTTGACTATCTACTCAAAGCTTCCCATGGTGATCAACTGCCATTCTCGCACAGGCCCAAGAACTATGCACCATGTTTTGTTTTGTTTTGTTTTTTTGATCCATCAGCACCTCAAGCCATTGTCTCCATTTTTCCTCCCACACACGTGCCTTCGGTTCAGCATACTATCATTCATCTTAGCCTTCCCATCTTGCAACGTCAAGGTGATCTCTTTTCTCCCAGTTTTAGGGCCCCATCCCATCCCATGTGTAAGTAACGCCTACCATTTCAACTCTTGGAACGATTTATGCCACCCACCTCTTGGTTGTTATTGTCACTGCTCCCACCTTAGTTGGGGAACATGGCGAACGCTCAGCAATGGTGCTCCCCTGTTCTGGAATGCCCCTGCCACAAGCCATCCTTTGAAATGCTTCCAAGTAAGGCCACTGAAAGGTTATCTGTGCCTCTGTCCAGCAGAGCTTTCCACCAATGGGCGTTCATGACCTCCGTAATTTGGTCTGAGCTCTGTCTCCTCATCCAGCTCCATAAATGCTATCCACCTCCCATCAACGTACCACCATGACTTGTTTAGGGTTTAAGTGAAACTTCGTACAAAAGCCTCATTTAGTAAGGTGCCCTCAAAAATGCAGGTTCCTGGGACTAACTCAAGACCTAGTAGATTTGAGTCCTGGTGTTGAGTTCCAAAGCATGGGTATTTCAAGAAGTGAACTGGGGGGCCAGCCGAATGGCTCAGTTGGTTAAGAGCATGAGCTCTGAGCAACGGGGTCGCTGGTTCAATTCCCACATGGGCCAGTGAGCTGCGCCTGAGCTGAGCTGCTGATGGGCAGCCAGATGGCGACTAGATTTGGGAGCTGAGCTAGCTGCACCCTCCACAACTAAGATTGAAGGACAACAATTTGGCTGTTCCCCTTCCCCAATTCCCCAACACTGTTCCCATTCCCCAATTCCCCAATAAAAAAATAAAAAAATTTAAAAAAGTGAACCAGGTGACCCTTACACACCTTAAATGTTCAGAATCTCTGCTGACTCCACGTCAATTTCACTTGGATTGACATCCCACCTCTGCTGTCCAATTTCCCCATGAAAACCTTGTTCCCCGATGATGGATTTTGTCATATCCCTCCAGGGAGCATGCTGTGCCTCCCATATGCATCTGAGGTGGCATAGACCATATATTACCTTGGGTGTTAGGAATTGAATGACCCGATTAATCACCTGATTGGATCTCAAGCACCTTGTATAGTATACATGTTTATGTCTCGAATAGCGTGTGGTAATTAATGCCATATTACATATTACTACTGCACGATTATAACAATGATGATTCTCCTGAATGATATTTCTGTTTGGTTTCAACCGTTGTATTGTAGAGCCAGAGTGAGTCAGTATGGCCCGATGGCCTCCCTGGTCCAGCCAACATTGCATTTTAGGGCTGATTGTGTCAGCCCCACAGGAACAGAGGTCTTTTACCAGAATGTGTTTGATGGAGACATAAAGATGGAGTCATGACTGAGCAATGGGCCAGTATAGATTATTTCTCAGGTTGCTTTCAGTTGAGTTGTCCCAAACCCGGATCACATAACAGTGGGTTCTTTTCTATGCCCTATAGTTTTCAATCTTCTTGTGACATGTTTCCCTATCTCGCCATACTCTGTAAATTAGATGTGACATGAAAGCATGCAGGATTCTCCCCTTACCTCTCTGAAGAATCCTGGATTTAAAACTTTAGAAGTCCATTTACTGTATTATAATACAACGTGCTCTCCCAAAGGTTAAGAAATGGTGTGTTTGGTTCTCTGTCTTTTGATGTGCGTCTCTCCGTCTTCTCATGTGATTAGAATTAGGCGCAATTCTATCTTCACTCTTTCTTGAAATAATTACTCTGCTTACGTATTTTTTTTAAATCTTCATAGCATCGTTCAGACAGAAATGAACACATGTTCTCCTGCTCTCTCCCTGATGACATGTCTCAGAGAAATGATCTGCCTAGTCAACTAACCCACCCACACAGCAAGACAAACATTAAGATGTGACCCATGAATCCAATTCACTTTTTTATGCTGCCGTAATGTATTTAGAGATTGACCTCTTCTACCCATCCCAACTGATGTCTGCTTCTCCTTCCCCTCCTTCACCTTCTGCTTTCCTTCCTTTTTCTCCTCTCTCACTCTCCTTCCTCTCCCCCTCTTCTTCTCCCCGCCCCCTCCTTTCACGACTTTATTTCTCTAGGACCTCCATCCTTGCAACAGTCTCAGAAAATGTTTCCTTTGCTTTCAGTCTTGTCCCCCTCCAACTCATTCTCCATTTGTCACTAGAGTGATGATCCTCAGATAAATTTGATTATTACTCCCCTACCATCCACTAAAAATATATTATTCGCTCCCCGCTGCCTATTGGAGATAGTCCGCCTTTCAGCATGGCATTCAAGGTCCTTCGTAGGTCTCAGAACACCCTCCCCTTTACCTCTTGTCAAATCTCACTTGCTTTTAATCTACGCCCTGCTCATACCAAACCCTCAGCATTTCAAATCCCATATATAAGGGTTGTAGTTAAATGCCTTTATGCAGGCAGTTCCCATGGCTTCTTTTTGTCAACTTTTGCCCCTGATCAATGTCTGTTTACCATTCCTTCTGTGAAGACCTCCCCACCTTTATCTTTTCTGCCTCCATGGAGCCCTATGAATTCATACATCATAGGATTTTTCACACCGTCTTATAATAGTTTTCTTATGCTGTTGGCACCCTTATCCATTAGATGTTAAGCTTCTTCAAAAAATAAATGGATGTGCTTTACTCACAAATGCATTTTCAGTGCTTGTGCTCAAAATATACTTGATGAATTTATAAATCAATCAATTAATTAATACATTCTTGGCAAAAGCCAATGCCTTCCTGGATTGCTATAAATGATTATATTTAAGTTGAGGCTGTGCTTTTACCCTCTACTTGGAGAAATATATATATATATATATATATATATATATATATATGTCTATATCTACATGCTTTTGTATCTATGTCGATGTATGCCTCTGATTTGGGGGAGAAGCAATATTTATGGACAGTACTATTATGTTAGTGAATCTTAAGTAATTAAGATTTTAAAAATTAAAAATACATGTTTTCTTCTATTATTGGCTGTATATATGTATATATGTATATTTGCATACATCTTTTCAGTAAAGGGTGTTTTATATATACTCATATTGTCTTAATCATCCCAAGAAACCCCCATGAGCGCTATTATTTGTCACTCTTTAACAGATCTATGCCCAATGATTCGCAAAACAGCAGACTTTCCAACAAGCCAGGAACAGGAAGGGCAGACACTGGCTTGGAAACGAGGCCTCCTGAGTCAGCCTTCGTCACCTTCCCCATCCTTGGCCATGCTCCCCAAGTTTCCTTCTCTTACAACTTGTGGGAAATCCCTGTAGATGCCGTCACAGCCAACCGTGACAGCAGGTCGGGCGCCTGTTTGCTTCCTGAACTCAGGAGCAATCGCGTGGGCGTCCTATGGGTTGGGAACGTCCCCTTTTTCCTTTCACAATTACATGCATAGGCCTGTGAAGTAAGCTGACGAAATGCAAACATCAACTTAGAGCTTCTCGCCTGCCGGGACCTGTATGAAGTCACTTCCTCTCACAACGACGACGCTG